GTCAGTCGTAGAACAGTCCATGAACAGGACAGCATTATAACTTGTACTGTTACTATTCACAAGGCGTAGAAAACGAATATTCCACGCGGAAAAAGAAATAAAATGTCAAGTTTGGTCATTACAAAGAGTATGAATACGATACACATACGAATCGATGAATTTGATGCTCCTATGCTATATTCCATTGGAGAATTTTCAACATAAAATTCTTAGAGGATGGTCCATCGGGAAAAATGCTTAATTCTATTGTGCTCAGCTCGTCGAGCTCTATCGATTGGGGTACCTCTCGTTAGCATCTGTGATTAACACTCGGGATAGCTCCCCTAAGTACAAAGGCGATATACTGCTCTGCGACGATAAATATTTAAGATTGTTACATGTTGTTGATTCATTAATGTTAAACGAATCGCATGAATTTCAAACATAGCCTCTTCAAATTCTACAAGTCTAACTGAGTGAAAGTCTGTCCGAACATAAATTGCGCAACCTCCTCCATGACGGTTACGATCGAGACGCCAAGGAACATGATATTCAAAAAAACTTATATCATTATCAGCAACAGTGTTATCCAACCACGTTTCAGTGAGACAAAGCACTGCTGGTCTGATCAGGGATAAATAAGCGCTAACAGCATCCTTTTGAGGTACTAGACTTCTTATGTTCATTGATGAAATTTTTATACTAGCAGACGCATTACCCGAATTTCCAACTATGGTGAAAAGAAAATCCTAACCGCACCTCCATCATAACACAGTGATATATCGCCAGAACACAAAGCAAAAGCAGAGCAAAATAAAGTAAATGAAAAAAGTTGTCCATAAGTAAGGAATGTGAATCACAGTTATTCATCCATTTCCACTAGACCATCAATATCTTGCATCGAACGAAGCAAACGATAGTTTCCTTTAGACAAATAATAGTAAACACTACCATTACGTGTAAATACTTGTTGTTTATTTAGATTTTGTTTAGCGTATTGGAAAATATGAGTGTTCAATGGTGTTAAATGTTCATTAATAAATACATCCTAATATTGTTCGATTTGTCGTGATTTTTTCCGTGCATCATAAAAAATATTTCTGTCAGTAAAACGTAGAAAACTAATAATAATAGCTTGTCGCGATTTATCTTTACCTCGTTTAGATAATGGTAAACGATGAATAGCATAAAAATCATGTTTGTTCAATTGCAATTCAACACTAGCAGCTAATTCTAATACTACATCATACGTATTTTCATTTTGTTTAAATGGTATACCATATAGTATAAGATCTTTTCTTTTATTATACTGTGTTAAGTCATTCGTTTGACATTGTAACAGTAAAATGTTATCATTCACTTTCTTTAATTCAGATTTCAAATCTTCAACTTGATAATGATACTTATTTACAGCTTCTTCAAGTACCGTACACTGTAATTTGGAATTATTTTCTACTTTATAGAAAATCGATCTGGAAAATCGCCAAGGATTTTCCAACTTTTATAAAATCCTCAGCGATTTTCTGACTGTTTAGAAAATGTTGATTTTCTGCTT